CATATACCTTCCACCGCCACGCTGAAAAAAATTATTCTATAGGATTCAGGAAGGGGGAGTATGGGGGAAGGTATAAAACTTCAAAATCAGGGTGATCATGGAACCAGTTCTGGACTAGAGCAGCCCGATGAAATGAGACATTGTCCCAAACGACAATGTACCGCATCTGGTCCACTTGGTGTAATGCTGTGACAATCTCATGCAATCGGTCAAGAAATGCAAGTATCAGATTTGCATTATAGGGTCCCAGATTTGCATGGTGGTGGAGGACCCCATTTTGTGTGATAGCAGCGCAAAGGGTGATGTTAACCCCTCGCTGCCCTGGCACATTGGTGATTGCCCTGGGCCCAATTACATTTCTCCCTCTTCTTCTTGTTTTTGCAAGGTTAAATCCAGCCTCATCCACATATATAAATTCATGTTGAATTTCAGCAGCATCCATTTGCAAGACTCTCTGAAACACATTAAAGAAAATAGGATGCTATTCAATATCTATAGCACAGTATTTTTTTTGTGACAGAACATTATGAGCAGTGCATGATACCACACCATAGTCAGATGAACAATGCATACCTCCACATACTCATTGCGCAGATGTTTCACTCTCTCTGAATTTCTGTCAAATGGTACCCGATACAGTTGCTTCATGTATATTTGATTTTTCTTTAGGATTCGACCTAATGTTGACAGAGAGACTCGTTGGATGTTATTGAAAATATTGTCATCATTGTGATCATTGTTGGCTTGGATTTCTCGTAGCCTGATACAATTATTGGCCAAAACCATGTTCACAATGGCGGCCTCTTGTGCACGACTAAACATAGGGCCCCTTCCACCTTGGTGTCCTCGACCCTCAATCCTATGTAAAAACAAAATAAGATAAAAATAAATAAATATGTATATATATATATATATATATGCAGCCTACTGTCAAATGTCACAGTAAACAATATTGATTATACAAGCTTCAGTTTCAATGTATACTGTGTGGTTAGCTTACCTGTTTTCTCAATTAAATGTCCGAATTACTGACGCAACAGTATTTCTGCTGAGATTTGGTTGAACTCTTTGTCCAGCTTCCATCAGTGTCAGTCCATGGTTGATAACATGGTCAATAAGTGTTGCACGGATTTCTCGAGTCAAATTTGGTCCTCGTCTTCTTTGTTCAGGTTCTATCAACTCTTCAAGTCCTTCTCTACCTCTTCCTCTACCTAGGTGTCTTCCTCTACCTCCTTCTCTTCCTCTACCTTCTTCTCCTCTACCTATGCCTCTTCCTCTACCTCCTTCTCCTCTTCCTCTACCGCCTTCATCTCCTCTTTGAGCTCCCCCTCTCATTCTCACTCTTCTTCTTCTTCTAACTCCTTCCATTTTTGTTGAAGACAGGTGAACTCACCTGCTGCCTTTTATAGCACACCTGAGTGCTGCGTTTTCAAATTAGCACATGTGTGCTTCCACACCTGGTAGATGTGTTTATCCAATTCGTTCATTAGTGTGGTAATTGGCAATCCGGTGCTTTGTAATTACAAGGAAGTAACCTCACGATCCTTATCTGTGTCTAAGGTGTGAAAATGTGTGTAGAGTTTTACAAATCACTGTGTGTAATGTTTTGCAAAAAGGGTGAGGCGGACATTGTGTGTAATGTTGTGCAAATCTGTGGAGGTGTTTTGCTCATTGGAGTACAATTTTGCTAATTGTGTGGAAATTTTAATTTTAGTGTGTAAACAATCGTAAAAAACTGTATTATCTATCCTGATGCATAGTTACTTTACCTTGCCTTCAGTACTTATCTACCTCAAATACCTCATAACTCTGCACATTGATCTGGTATTGGTACTCCCTGTATATAGCTCCATTCTTGTGTATTTCATTTTATTTATCTTGTGTTACTATTTTGATTAGTATTATTATATTTAAACTCTGCATCGTTGGGAAGGGCTCGTAAGCAAGCATTTCACGGTAAAGTCTACACCAGTTGTATTCGGCTTATTTGACAAATAAAATTACATTTGATTAGATGTTAAGATATTCTAGTGGTTAGTTGGCTCTCACTGGCTGCCAGCTGGTAAAAAGACTGATTTTGCTGCTGAGAGAACCTTGCCAAGAGACTATGGAAGGTTTCCACATTTCCTGTTTCTTTTTATGGAAAAGCCATCAGCTAGCCAGTGTTTGTGTGTGTGTGTGTGTGTGCAACGGTGTATGTGTGTGTGTGTATGTGTGTGTGTGTGTGTGTGTGTGTGTAACAGTGCATGACAGTGCATGTATGCTTGTCTACGTACGTGCACGTGTGTGTCTATGTGAGTGTGTGTGATAGTGTGTGTGTGATACTCTAGAATGGTATGTGCTACCTGTCGGCACAGTCTGTCCTAACATAAGCCACAGCTCAGTCGATGTTTTTCAAATATCTTTCTGAAACAGGTTTCTCATTCATTCATTTATAAGTCAGAGCGCCAAACCTATTTCATAACCAATGTTTTTTTTGGGGGGGGGGGTCGATCAGCTTAATATTGCAGATAGATTGTAACTTCCATCAATGTAATTGTCTGCATCACTTTCAATCCCCCATGTTTTTATATATACATATACATATACATATGCACACATACACACACACACACACACACATACATACATACATACATACATACATACATACATACATACATACATACACATACATATCCTTAAAAAATATATATATATTCCCCTTTATTACTTTCCAACCCCGCCACCCTTTCCCCACTTGGAGTAAACTAGTGAACAACAACGCCTAGGCCTCTACTTCCAGCCCATACCCACTATCTACATTTTATGGACACAGTCAATTTTACAATAATTACATTTTGTTTGTTCTTTCTCCTGAACTTCTTCTACTCTCAACCTCTCCGATCATTTTCATGATGTCCATCCGGTTTGCTTCTATATGCCATATCTTTCTAACTGTGCTCCTTCATAACCAATGTTATTGTAGAACAATACCATCATGGGCATGACGTTCTGTTATGATGGAAAAGATTAGACAAATTATTTCAAAACCTTGTATAAAGTTATTCAATCTTGTTGTTTTCTCATCAAGCTTTCCCTCAATGACATTACAAGCTTATACCTAAACATATTATTGTAGAGCTAAGGAATCAGATATCATAATAATATTTCCCTATTTAGTCCCCTATTAATAATCCCCTATTTTAGCCCCCTCTCTCAGTCCCCTAATAGCAGTACCCATAATAGTTCCCATTTTAGTCTGTTGTAAGTCAAGGCAAAACTGGGTGGCATTATGTCAGACCTATGGTTACACAGCACCCCTGAGGATACTGTCATGTAAAACCCAGTGGTTCTCCCCCTGGAAACATACATGGAAAAAGCATGCCTGGCTGACACTAATAGGTAGGGGAAAGTGTTCACACATGTGCTTGTGTGCACACAGTCGCACGCACAAACACTTCGGAACTGATGGTCTTATGACATCTGTTTGTGCTAGGTGGCGCTCCTTCTGTGTTTTTCTCTCTCTCAGTCCTCACATCCCTCTCTCCTTCTCTGCCTCAGTCCTCCCAACCTCCCTTTCTCCCTCAATCCCCCAGAAGATCCCTCTCTTCCAGTCCCTCCCTCTCTCCAACCCTCCCTTATACTCTCTGTCCCCACTGCCTCCCTCTTCTCTACACTCCTCCCTCTCCCTCCATCTCTCCTACTGTGTTATTTTCTTTCCCTCTGTCCCCATAACTTCCAGCAGTAACCCTGGAAAGCTCTGGAATATTTCCACTGTACTCAGCTGAGATGCATGCCGAAATGCCCAAAAGATGCACACACACACATGCACAAAGCCTGGGGCTGTAGCCTGGATCCTAATCACAGAGATTGGCCCTTTGCATATTGATAAAGTACAGTGTGTGCAGATAAAGGATTGACCAAAGACCATCTGATCCTGACGGCATGCAGCCTTTGAAAACTTTGCCAGATTATAATTCAAACCCTATGCCCTGATATCAGACCTCTATTTTCCCTCATCCTTTTGATCGTTCTCCCCCTCCCCCTCACTCTCTCTTGTTTTTGGATAACATGTTTCCACCAAATGTTGCAGGATAAACAGTTACTATAGGGTGTTGCGTCAGAGTGGAATGAGGGAGAGAGGGAGACTAGAAAGAGGGAGAGAGAGAAGAGAAAGAGGGAGAGAGGGAGAAGAGAAAGAGGGAGAGGAAGAGGGAGAGAAGAGAAAGAAGAGAGAAGAGAGGTCCGAGGGAGAGGGAGAGAGAAGAGAAAAGAGGAGATGAGGGAGTAAGAGGAAGAGAGGAGAGCAAGGAGAAGAGAGGCGGAGAGGGAGAAAGGGAGAAGAGAGAGACAAAGGAGAGAAGAGGCAAGAGAGGTGGGAAGGAAATAGATGAGGATAGAAGAGGAAGTGAGAGGGAAAGAAAGGAGGAGAGACTCGAGAGGAGAAGCGGAACGAGGAGAAGAGACAAAGGGAGGAGAGAGAAAGCATCAGAGATGAGGCAGAGGTGGAGAAGAAAAAGGGAAGGCCGAGAGAGAAAGGGAGAGAGAGAGAAGAGAAAGAGGGGGAGATAGAGAAGGAGAGAGTGAAAGGGGAGAAGAGAAAAGGGGGGGGACGAAAAAAGGGAACGAAGAAGAGAAAGAGGGGGTGGAGAGGAAGAGAAAGGGGAGAGAGAGAGAGGGAGAGAGAAGAAAGAAGAGAGGGAGTGAGAAAAGGGAGAGAGATGAAGAGAAGAGGGAGGGAACAGGAGAGAAAGAGGGAAGTCCGGAGAAAAGAATGCGGAGAGAAGAGAAAGGGGAGCTAGAGAGAAGAGAAAGGAGAGAGAGAGGGAGAAGAGAAAGGGGGAGAGAGGGAGAAGAGAAAGAGGGAGAGGGAGAAGAGAAAGAGGGAGAGAGGGAGAAGAGAAAGAGGGAGAGAGGGAGAAGAGGGAGAGAGGGAAGAGTATGGAGGATGTCTAAAGCATGGGCTATATGCCTCAGGAATGTATTTGGCAGTGGGTAAATACTGCAGGTAGCCTGAACACACACACACACACACACAGACGCTCACCACCATCCAGTGCCACATGCTCATCGGTGCAGAGAGTGAACCACCACTACTGTCTACTGCTACTGTGCAGGGAACCATAGCTCAGGAATACAAGCAACCACAAAACTGAACCCATAAAGAAGACAGGTATGTGTGTTTTGTCTGTCTGCTTCATTTACCTGTGGTGTTTGTGAATGTTTTTGTGAGTTAAGTGAGATTTAGTGGAAAATAAATGCTTTGATTTATATACTGGCAAATGTATAATTGCAGTTACTGCAGGCTATAAATGTATTATGTTGTTACTGACAGACAGAATAATGTTGATGTGTATGGCTGTGCTATAATCCAATCTGCCCCTAACTCAATGAAGAAGTGGTTATCATGCGACTGTGAATGTGAATGTTACCATTCTGAAGTCCAGTTGACCTATATGGACACCCTGATGATGCAGTCTCTGTCATCTATGTGTGTGCATGCATATTTTGTTCATGCGTATTTTGTCTGTGTGTGTGTGCCTGCCTGCCTGTGTTCATGTGTGCGTGTGTGTCTGTGAATATGTGCATGTGTGACATTTTTGTCCACTGTGTATTATTAAGGCTGCAGCTGTGCATGTGGAAAAATATGGACACACATTCCTCTCTCTCCAACACAGATGTGTGTCTGCAACTTAGAGCAACAAATGGCAGGAGGGCAAACTCATGCCTCAATTCCTCTGCTGTATTAAGGTATTAAGATGTTAATGAAGCGGGGAAAGTTAGTCGCTGTCTCACATCGTGACGTCACCTAGTCAACTGACTCTCCAGGGGTGACAAGTTACAGTAGCTTCTTGCTCTAGATGTTTCTATGGCTCAGAGTGTTTCGAATTGTTGAGAAAAAGCTCTGACGAAGGCCTTGAGGCCGATGAGTAAAGCTTATTAAAAATAAGTGATACTAGCAAGAGCAGTGTGCGGGTTTCTTCTTTTTTCTCATGGAGTTGTTGTGATCGAATCCTGTGTTTCGGATCCTGTGATGGAATTATCCAAGTAGCTGTGTCCATGGCTGTGGTGTGGGTCGGGTCTGGTCCTTGCACTGGTTCTTTGTATTTGTATATAGATAAGTAATATATAACAATTATTATCACTATCCCCAGATTGTCTTACAGTATCTCCATGGCTGTACTACGGTCGGTGCTGTCCCTTGCCCTCACTCTAGCCCTGGGCCTGATGCTGAGTGTCTGCAGGCCTGTTTGTGGCACCCCAGTGGCATCCCAGGACCTGGACTATGGAGGGGTTCCTCTATGGATCAACCGTCTTCTGGGGGAACCCTCTGTATTCAGCCTGAGGGGCCGCATGAACCGTGCATGGTACAAATAAAACATTGATACATTCATTTATAAATGAAATGCACTTGCACATCTGAAAGTTGCTTTAGCTGGTGCGTCGGGATTGGGTAATGTTCAAACGTCATTCAAAGGAAAGTTCACACACTTTGCGCTTGCAAAGTGTCACATTTATTTCTTACTTTATTTACATTTGTAATATCTGAGTAAAGACATATTTATGTGTGTGTGATCCAGGTTTAGAGCCAACAACCCCCAGTCCTGCCCTGACCTGTGTGACTGTCCTATCCAGTGGCCCTCAGCTCTATACTGTGACCACAGAGACCTGGGAGAGCTGCCGGACAGCATGCTTTACAATACACAGTACCTGTTCCTGCAGGTAATACACACATCACATGCATGCACATTCACACACACACACATACACACACACACACACACACACAAAGGGGTCTGAGACACCTGCCTGACAGACTGCCAGGTACCACATGGTTCCTATACAGATGTAGGATCTTAATTTGGGCCAATAATCCTGCATCAACAGAAAATGTGAATTATTATGTGGATTATAAGTAATGGACATTTTAAAGTGGAAATTACAAACTTTAGAAACCTTTTTAAACCTTGAATACACTGCTGTGCAGGAACATTTTCAGCAAAAAAATTAAGATCCTACATCTGTGGTAACACACATGTGTGTGTGTTTTCCCAGGGCAACAACATCTCGTCCCTGCCCTCCTCCTCTCTCACCAACTCCTCAGGGCTCCGCTGGCTCATCATGGATGATAACCGTCTACAGACGGACGGGCTGCAGACCTCCACGCTGCAGAACCTGACCCGGCTCCAATACCTGTTCCTTAACCACAACAAGCTGACAGCCGTGCCCTCCGGCCTGCCCAGCAGCCTGCGGCAGCTCCGACTGGCACACAACCTCATCACCAGCATCTCCCCGGGAACCTTTGGGAATTTACATAATCTTACATTGCTGCTACTGCAGGGGAATAGGCTGAACGTGATTACAGAGACTGACTTCACAGGTAAGTGTCTTCGCTCTGCTTCTTTTCTGAGTGATTATATTTTATGTCAAAACATCATTTCTGACATATGTTAAAAATAACAGCCTCAAAGGTAACAGCTCTGAACATGCTTGTTCTGGTAGCCTCTCTCCCTTCCTCCCTCCCTCTCTCCCTCTCTTCCTCTCCCTCCCCCTCTCCCTCTCCCTCCTTCCCCGCCAGGCCTAGTGTCTCTTAACCTGTTGGACCTGAGCGGGAACCTCTTCTCCTCCTTCCCCTCTCACCTCCCTCCATCCATCCAGCAGCTCTACCTCTCCAACAACTCTCTGTCTGCCCTGGGGGAGGAAAGTTTATGGGGCTTCACTAATCTCAGGTAACACACACACGGACAGATGCACGCATGCACACACACACACACACACACACACACACAGGTAAATTATTTCAGTCTGATATGCATCACATTCACACATCTCTGATATTATCACAAAATGTAGCTTTAATGTAAATGTAATGTTCTGTGTGTGTGTGTGTGTGTGTGTGTGTGTGTGTGTGTGTGTGTGTGTGTGTGTGCGTGCGTGCGTGCGTGCGTGCATACGTGTGTGAGTGAGTGTGTAGGTACCTGCGTCTGAGCCACTGTGGTCTAGTGAGCCCTTCCCTCCACCCCCAGTCCTTCAACCTATCTTCCCTTGTAGAGCTGGATCTCTCTTACAACAAGCTGACAACCATCCCCCTGGTCCCCCTCACATTACAGTACCTATACTTGGAGGCCAACCACATACAAGGTAAGACTATACATACACTCCCACACACACACACGTGCACACACACACACACACACAGACACTCCCGCATACGAACACACACACACACACACACACACAGAGACTAACATCTGTGAGGGGTTGACCAGGGGATTATGATCCAGCCAGGTACCCCGTGAAACAAGTTAGTATTCGACGTCCGTCCATGTCGAAGGACGTCGGGAGATGATGTAGAAACCGGCCACTAGGGGTGTAAGCATCTGCCTCTGGTGTTCGAATCCAGCAATTGAAAGTTGTTTTTGAGATTTTTGTTTTAAGCCTATCACAAACCTTAACCCTTACCTTAACCATTCAGAGTTAATGCCTAAACGTATCCCTAACCTTAATATTGTTGAGTTAATGCCTAAACTTAACCTTAAACACTTAAAAATTTGACGTTTGGAACTAACTGCGAAATTTGACGTTCGACAAACATGGATGAACGTCTAATTCTGACATGAGACTGTGAGAGCTAGTTGGTAAGATCAGCCAAATATCATGCTCTTTCCATCTTTCTCTGAGAAAAGCAATCCTGGTGTTTTGCCTCCAAATATTTTCAAATGACGAAGCTGATCGAATTATGAACTCCTGAATGCGTCTCTTGGACTGCAAATCAGCACATGGAGAGTGGATGTAATTTCCTGCCTCAACTTCAATAACAAACCTGTGAATCTCACAATTGGCCACTCGTTCGCTCAGCCGTGTCTCCTTGACAAACACTGTTAGGATTCCTGGATTCCTGTTCTGGCTGGGATGTTTGGGCTACAGAGGGAGAGGGACAGAGGGGAGAGAATGACAAGAGAGAAAAACAGAGGTGGAGATACAGTGCCTTCAGGAAGTATTCACACCCCTTGACTTTTTTCATGTTTTGTTGTGTGAATTTAAAATGGATTACGTTTAGATTTAGTGTCACTGGAGTACACAATACCCTCTAATCTCAATGTGGAATTATGTTTTTAGACATTTTAGAAATTAATAAAAAACAGAAAGCTGAAATGTCTTGAGTCAATAAGTATTCAAGCCCTTTGTTATGGCGAGTACAAATTTGTTTAACAAGTCAGATAATAATTTGCATGAACTAACTCTGTGTGCAATAATGGTGTTTAACATGATTTTTCAATGACTACACCTATCTCTGTACCCCACACATACAATTATCTGTAAGGTCCTTCAGTCAAGCAGTGAAGCACAGATTCAACAACAAAGAACAGGGAGGTTTTCCAATGCCTTGCAAAGAATGGCACCTATTGGTAGATGGGTAAAACATTTAAAAAACAGAGAGTAGGGAGGTTCCCATTGACCCAGGTTTATTAGACAAAAGCAACGTCTCAAAACATCTTTGAAACAAGTGTAATGGAGACGGCAGATATAGGAGACATTTTCTAAAGATCAACAAAAAAAAATCTTTTGGAAAACGTTATTTATTGTGACAAATTATGATGGAAACTGTGTTTTTCGAATAAATGATTAATGCCGAATAATTTTGAAGGTACGCGCGGCACGTGATGTCAACACAAGCTCCACTCTAAATGTAATTCTAAATGCCTGCTAAATCAATTTTTAAACTATAAAAATAATGCTTCTTTGCAGGATCCTTGTCCTGACTTTCAAGAATGGCTGAATTGCTTCGAATTGCTTTTCTGGTTGGCTGGATGCAAGTTTCACCATCCAATTATTTACCGTGCAAGTTTCACCATGGCACAGACCGTGGCGATATGTTGGCACATGATAATTATTCGAATATTGCATACTAGTCTATTCTTGCATTCTTTCCATGCTGGCTTTCACGGGCTACCTGAGTCATGAAACAAATAGGTGGAATGGCATACAGGCTGTCGCCAATTTATTAATGCGCAATTTGCCTAAATGGGTAGTGGAAACACTACAGTTTTATTCAACGTCATTACGTCCAGCTGTGACGTCATTATGTCCAGCTGTTTTTATCGACACAAGATAGTTAAATGGAAATGCACCTTAGCAGGCATTTGTCACATCTATTTTCTATGCAAACTTTCTAAATGTTGACAAAAAATCACAGGACAAGTTAATGGAAACATACTGTATCTACTGAATATCCCTTTGATCATGGTGAAGTTATTATTACACTTTGGATGGTGTATCAATACAAGCAGTCACTCCAAAGATACCGGCATCCTTCCTAACTCAGTTGACGGAGAGGAAGGAAACCACTCAGGGATTTCACCATGAGGCCAATGGAGATTTTAAACCAGTTAGAGTTAAATGGCTGTGATAGGAGAACACTGAGGATAGATCAACAACATTGTAGTTACTCCACCACACTAACCTAAATGACAGTGAAAAGAAGGAATGCTTGTCATTGGCAAGGACTATGGAGTTTTTTTTAGGATACAAATAAAAGGAATAGAGCTAAGCACAGGCAAAGTTCTAGAGGAAAACCTGGTTCAGTATGCTTTCCAACAGACACTGGGAGACAAAGTCACCTTTCAGCAGGACAATAACCTAAAAAGCAAGGCCAAATATACACTGGAGATACTTACCAAGATGACATTGAATGTTCCTGTGTGTCCTAGTTACAGTTTTGACTTAAATCGGCTTGAAAATCTATGGCAAGACTTGAAAATGTCTGTCTAGCACCCATCAACAACCAACTTGACAGAGCTTGAAGATTTTAAAAAAGAATAATGGGCAAACATTGTACGATCCAGGTTTGCAAACCTCTTAGAGACTTACCCAGAAAGACAGCTGCCAAAGGTGATTCTAACATGTATTGATTTAATAAAATAAAATGTTAGCATTTTTCTTCAACTTTGATATTACAGAGTATTTTGTGTAGATCGTTGACAAAAAATGGCAATTAAATCAATTTTAATACCACTTTGTAATACAACAAAATGTGGTAAAAGTCAAGGGGTGTGAATACTTTCCGTAGGCATTGTAGATAAACAGACAGAGAGGCAGGGGTACAGAAATAAAGAGAGAGAGAGAAAGCAAGAGAAAAGTGTGAGCTTTTTTTCCGCAAGGCTCTCCAGGAGACATGAGTCAGCACTATAACCTGGTATGTGTGTCTGGTCTGGTCTGACAGAGTTAAACACAAGACATTCACTGAGAGAAAAACACTCACCTCACTGTCTAGCATCCCAACAGCTAGCTAACGTTGTCTACCCTCTGCCAAACTTACCCTTCTGCCAATAGCTATAGGCAGGAACAGGAGGTAGAGAGGAGATTATGTTTTCTCTCCTCCTCTTTTTTAAGATAGCTGTAGCTGCTTTTTGGATTTGGCTACTACTGTAGCATGTTGTGGTTTCTGCTCCTAATAGAATAGGCTACTGAAGCTGTGCCCAGCTTCTGTTCAGGCAAGTCATTTCAGGAACAATGATGGCAGTACACTCAAAATACTGTGACAACTCTCAATTGGAGGAAATGGGTTTAAGTTATGTTCACTCATGGTAAAAATATACTTTGTGAAGTCAGAGTATATGAGTGGGAATGTCATTGCTGTGTATAGGGCTGGAGTGCATGTAATAACCATACTGTCCTCTGTTCTCTTTGTCCTCTCTATCCTTTCTATCCTCTCTGTCCTCCCTCTGCTCTCTGTCCTCTGCAGAGTTTAACGTCTCTAGTTTCTGTCGGGAGGTGGGTCCTCTGTCCTACTCCAGGATGAGGATCCTTCGTCTGGACGGCAACAAGATGTCCTACCATCTCCTACCACCTGAATGGGTCTACTGCCTCCGAGTCCTGCACCACATATACATCTAACCCTGACTTTGGACCTCTAACCCCCTGACCCTGCCACAACCCTGCTTTGAAGCTTACCTCAGCAAGATTCTGGAAAGATTCTGTCAAGATTCCACAGGTCCGAACATTCAGAAATGAACACACACCCATGCACACAAGTACGTCACTCAAACGCACATCCCTCAAACACACATCACTCATGCACACTCGGACGCACGTTTGGACACGACACAAACGTAAGCACATGCTCACATGGTCTCAGAACAGGTCTTCTAGACTCAATACAATATATTTTTTATAGTCTCCCTGTATCTACTTCATACTGTAACACATAGTCTGATCAGTGTTTGAAGCAGGTATTCATTAAAATCATCCATCAACATCACCCACCAAGGCTTGTTAATCTATCACAGTACTGTAGAGTCAGCTTGGAGTTGAATTGATCCAACACACACGTATAAATGCGCACATTATATACGTTTTATTATTGTAAAGTTTTACAATATCTACTATGTATTGCTAAGGTCAAATTATGTGCTGTATTGGATGTATGACTGTAATTTATTGTTTTTGCATATGAACAGAACAATAAAATATACACCATTATCAATTGTTTTTACTGTTTTTCTCGCTCAACTAATATTTTAGAACAGACACTACTGATGTAGACATGAAATAATCTCTGCTTCTATCCCTGCTCAGGCTAAGACACAGATGCAGGCACAGGAGGTGGATAGTACGAGTCTCAGAGTGTATTACAGCACAAGGGGCAGGCAATCGGTAGGTCAAGGCAGGCAAAGAGTTGTAATCCAAATCAGAGTCAGGCATGTACAGGAAGTCAGGCAGGATCAGGGTCAGGACACGCAGAAAGGTCAGAACTGGGAAGACTAGGAAAAACAGGAGACAAAGGGCTGTGAGACAGTGGTTTAATCCTAGACACATGAAAGTGGGATGTATGCGGAGGGTGCAGGGCAACAGAAGACGAACAGCAGAGGGGCTAAGGGTTTTAGGGGAAAGGGCAGATGAAATGGTGGGAAAGTTTTCGGGACTCCACCCGAAGGGGCAGGTACCGAGTGGAAAACCAAACCCGAGCCAATAGCGGGGAGCAGCGGTCCGGTGGCGATCCGCCTGTCGCTGATACCTGGATGTGGTCTTCAGAAGAGCGGCCCGGGCTCTCTTCCAGGTACGGCCACAGCGGCGGACGAATATCTGGGCAGAGGGTATGCTGACTTCTTCCTCTTGTTCAGTGAAGAGCGGGGACTGATATCCCAAGGAACACTCGAAGAGCGAGAGACCAGTGGCCGAGCAGGGAAGGGTGTTACGGGTGTATTTCACCCACACGAGTTGCTGGCTCCAAGTAGTGGGGTTTGGCGGAGACGAGGCAAAGAAGAGCCGTCTCCAGGTAATGATTGGCTCTCTCCGACTGGCCGTTAGATTGGGGGTGAAAACCAGAGGACAGGCTGGCCGACGACCCAATGAGGGTGCAGAACGCCTTCCAGAACCAGGACGAGAACTGAGGACCACATCGGAGACCATGTCGACCGGAAGTCCATGGATCCGGAAGACGTGATGCACCATGAGCTGAGCCGTCTCCTTGGCTGAGGGTAACTTGGGAAGGGGAATAAAATGGGCAGCTTTAGAAAATCTATCCTCCACCGTCAAGATCGTGGTGTTTCCATCTGATGGAGGAAGACCAGAAACAAAGTCCTGGGATATATGGGACCAGGGGCGGCGAGGAACAGGGAGTGATTGAAGAAGGCCAGCCGGGGGCTTGTCACGGAGTCTTATTTTGTGAACACACAGTGCAGGCGGCAACGAATGCGGAGACATCGGGAACCATGGAAGGCCACCAAAAGCGTTGGCAGATGAAAGCCAGGGTCCGACGGGAGCCTGGATGGCATGTTAGTCTCGAGGGAGTTGCCCTCCAGGACTGGAGAGAGAGTGAAATTGAAACGGTGAATAATGGACCACTTATCCCTGCGCCCTAGATTGAGGCGGTGGGTGTTGTGTGGGAGATATTCAGGTTCTTATGGTCAGCCCACTAATGGGTGGGTGAATTGGGTGTTCAGCCCCTCAGCCTTGCTTCAGATATCCAGGTTCTATGGTCGCGAGGGTTTCCGCCCCCTCCAACCAGTGCCTTCACTCCTCCAACGCCATCTTGACGGCGAGGAGTTCTCGATTACCCACATCATAGTTCGTCTCAGCAGGGGTAAGACGATGGGAGAGAAAAGCGCAGGGGTGCAGCTTTTGATCCTGGGCAGAACATTGGGACAGGACGGCCCCCACTCCGACATCCACGGCGTCGACCTCCACCACAAACTGACGGGATGGGTCCGGATGGATTAAGATGGGGGCTGTAGTGAATCGATGTTTGAGGTCCAAGAACGCCTTGGGTAGGAGTTCTGAGAGGGGGGAAGCCAGGGTGCTGTAACCCCGGATGAAGCGGCGGTAGAAGCTAGCACAACCAAGGAAACGTAGCAGCAGCACTCTGGATGTGGGTTGAGGCCAATCCACCACCGCTCTCACCTTGTCTGGCTCCATCTGTATGTGTCCTGCAGTTATGCCATATCCTAGGAAGGAGATGGTGGAGTGATAGAATTCACACTTTTCCGCTTTGATGAAAAGCTGGTTCTCCAGGAGACGCTGAATGACCTGTCGGACGTGGAGGACCTGCTCTTGAGCTGAACGGGAAAAGACAAGGATGTCGTTGAGGTAGACAAACACGAACCGGTTCAGCATGTCCAGAGCATATCGTTGACCAGGGCCTGGAACACAGCGGGAGTGTTGGTCAATCCGAATGCCATAACCAAGTACTCATAGTGCCCGCTAGCCATGTTAAAGGCTGTCTTCCATTCGTCTCCTTCCCGTATCCAAACCAGATGGTAGGCGTTCCGAAGGTCCAACTTTGAGAAGATGGTCGCTCCCTGAAGAGGTTCGAAAGCCGAGGAGATTAATGGTAGAGGGTAACGTTTTTTAACCGTGACATCATTAAGGCCCTGGTAGTCGATGCACGGGCGCAGGGTTTTGTCCTTCTTCTCCACAAAAAAGAACCCTGCGCCGGCGAGAGAGGCAGAAGGATGAATACTGCAGCGAGAGAGCCCTCAATGTACTCCTCCATAGCCTTGGTCTCCGGACCCGACAGGAAGTAAAGCCGCCCCTGAGGTGGTGTAGTGCCCGGAGAAGGTCAATGGTGCAGTCGTAGGGTCGATGCGGAGGGAGAGACGTAGCGCAGGCCTTGTTGAAGCACCCGGAGGTCCAGGAATGGCGGAGAGATCTGAGGCTTCTCCCAAGCCTGCAGGAAGACGTCCCGGGGCAGGCTGTGCCGACTTAAGACAATGCACATGGCAGAACGGGCTCCAACCCATGACAGAACCAGTAGCCCAGTCGATTCTATGAGTAGGAACTGCATACACTCACTGTGATTTCCTGATACTTGTAGGTTGATAGGAACCGTATTGCGGGTGACTCTGCCAATAGAGTGCCCATCCAGCGCTCTGACGTCCATGGGAATGGAGAGAGGTTGAGAAGAGATTCCCAGCTCCGACACCAAGGTAGCATCGATAAAGCTCTCATCGGCCCCAGAGTCAATGATCACCCAGAGAAATTTGGCCTGGTCACCCCATTACAGGGTGGCATGGTGAGGGGTACGAGTAATGGGAGATTGGAAAATTCCCGTACGGCTCACCAGAATACTCGTACCTACTGAGGAGCCCGGTATCTTTGAACGGTCCGACGGAAACGCCCGGCAGGTTCCAGGATCCCCAGCGTAGTACTGGAGGCTGGGGAGAATCACCGCTGGTAGCGAGGTTACTGAGAGTCTGGGAGGTTTTCGTCGTGGCTTGCTGCCTAACAGATAGTCTGCAGAATTGTTCCAACAATGCACTGACTGCATAATCATGGTGTTCCGCCAAGGTGTGGAATCCTTACATAAGGTTAAGTAGGTTAAGTAGTAACTCCTCCTCCCTCTCTGTGGATGACTTCGTCAACCATTTTGAAAAGAAGGTTGACGACATCCGATCCTCGTTTGTTAAGTCAAATGACACTGCTCGTCCTGCTCACACTGCCCTACCCTATGCTTTGACTTCTTTCTCCCCTCTCTCTCCAGATGAAATCTTGTGACTTGTGACGGCCGGCCGCCCAACAACCTGCCCGCTTGACCCTATCCCCTCCTCTCATCTCCAGACCATCTCCGGTGACCTTCTCCCTTACCTCACCTCGCTCATCAACTCTGTTGTGTCCTCCTCCCAGAGTGCAAAGAGCCTTGGCGTGACCCTGGACAACACCCTGTCATTCTCCGCTAACATCAAGGCGGTGACCCGATCCTGTAGGTTCATGCTCTACAATATTCGGAGAGTACGACCCTACCTTACACAGGAAGCGGCACAGGTCCTAATCCAGGCACTTGTCATCTCCCGTCTGGATTACTGCAACTCGCTGTTGGCTGGGCTCCCTGCCTGTGCCATTAAACCCCTACAACTCATCCAGAATGCCGCAGCCCGTCTGGTGTTCAACCTTCCCAAGATCTCTCACGTCACCCCGCTCCTCCACACACTCCACTGGCTTCCAGTTGAAGCTCGCATCTGCTACAAGACCATGGTGCTTGCCTACGGAGCTGTGAGGGGAACGGCACCTCCGTACCTTCAGGCTCTCATCAGTCCCTACACCCAAACGAGGGCATTGCGTTCATCCACCTCTGGCCTGCTGGCCCCCCTACCTCTGCGGAAGCACAGTTCCCGCTCAGCCCAGTCAAAACTGTTCGCTGCTCTGGCACCCCAATGGTGGAACAAGCTCCCTCACGACACCAGGACAGCGGAGTCACTCACCACCTTCCGGAGACACTTGAAACCCCACCTCTTTAAAGAATACCTGAGATAGGATAAAGTAATCCTTCTACCCCCCCTTACCCCACCACAAAAAAAAAATATATATTGTAAAGTGGTTATCCCACTGGCTATAAGGTGAATGCACCAATTTGTAGGTCGCTCTGGATAAGAGCGACTGCTAAATGACGTAAATAAATAAATGAATGTCTTCCAATGGTGGCTCCTTGTGAGGGCCAGTCCGTACTATCACGGCTCAGGCTAAGACCCAGATGCAGACACAGGAGACGGATAGTATGAGTCTCAGAGTCTATTACTGAACAAGGGGCAGGCAAAAGGTAAGTCAAGGAAGGCAAAGAGTCGTAATCCAAATCAGAGTCAGTTAGGTAGAGGATGGCAGAAAGGATCAGGGTCAGGACAGGCAGAAAGGTCAGAACTGGGAAGAAAAACAAAAACTAGAGCACTGGAAACACGGGAACACGCTGGTAGGACTTGATGGGACAAGACGAACTGGCAACAGACAAACAGAAAACGCAGGTATAAATACACAGGGGATAATGGCGGAAAATGGGAGACACCTGGTGGGGGGTGGAGACAAGCACAAAGACAGGTGAAACAGATCAGGGTGTGACAGTTTCATGTAACACAAAACCTTTGTCCATCCAGAGCATTAGTCTCTATGAGCCATGTTATATTCATTACTCTAGATCAGGCCTGGGCAATTATTTTCCATGGAGGGCCACATTAGAATACATTTTTGCCATCGTAGGCCAGAATCCTTTTACAGGAT